TCTCGGCCAATACCTAATTTTAAAAAGAATCAAATCATTTCCTGGCTGGTGTGGCTCAGTTGGTTGGGTATCATCCCATGCATGGAAAGGTTGCCCATTGGATTCAAGATCAGAGCACATTCCTGGGTTGTGGGCTCAATTTCCTGAGAGGGGGAGTGCAGGAAGCAGCTGATTCATGTTTCTCTCTCATGTTCATGTTTCTCTCTCTCCCTCTCCCTCTTTCTTTAAAAATCAATAAAAAAATTTAAAAACAAGAGAATCATACCATGGGACAATGCCCCAAATATTCTATTTTCCTTTATGTGTGAATTTCAGTTGATTCATGGGTCTGCATATTCAGGATTTGACCACTCTCCCCACCCCCTCTCATCCCTATTCCCTGTGAATTAAAGGTTGCTTTTATTTTAGGTCCAATTCTTCCTTGTTTATAGTATCATATCTAGTAGAGAAAAGAATGCAACTTTGACAGAGATTTGTTTTGCATGTTATATATATATATGCAGAAAAAGGTAAACATCACATAGAGATCCAAGCTAAATGGCTTGAAGTGCATTGTTTATCATGCCTTATTTTATTGCAAATTTCACATATATCTCATATCTAACAGGAGCAAACCTCACACATCCATAAAAAGCCCACAAACCAAGCTATTGAAAGAGTAATATTTAAGCATAGCATTCATAAAGTAGGTAATAGAATTATAGAGTTGGCAGGTTGCATAAAACTGTCAGAGATACGGATGTCAAGCCATCTCTGTTCAAAAATGAGAAAACTGAAGTCGAGAGAGGTGTAGTGCCACGAAGTTGTTTGATGAATGATGGAGTCAGGATTAGAACCCAGCTCCCAGACCTGGACCCAGGGCTTGTTTTGACCCCTTATTCTTAGCCCTCCTCTGACAAGGAGGATGAAGATGAGCTGGGAAGGGAGGGAAAAAGGGTCAGTCCTTCTCTACCTACCTGGCCAGCACCTTGGCCACCAAGACACTGCCTTACATGGGAGATCCCTTTCTTCTTAGCCTGCACCAGCATCTCAAGCGTTCCATCTGGTTCCAAAATTACCACCCCCAGAGTAACCTCAGTGCCTAATCAATGGGACTTCTGAACCTAGAGGACAGGCGGTCTGTCCCGGTTAATTAATGTGCGCCTTTACAATGTCTTCCTTACAAGAACTCCTTCTTTCAAATGATGCCAAAGTGTTCACCTTGAAGAATCATAGTTTTAGGGAGTCTGTAAATCTCCTGAGAAGTGAAATCCAGTTCAGTCTGTAGCACTCATTAAATTATCAAAGATGTCCACAATGGGAAAAGGTTAAGTCTGTCTATCAGGGGAGGAGAGAAAGAAAAATCAAAGAACTCAGGAAATCTGGTATAATGGCCATCAGGAGCAATAAACACCAACTCAATAGAAATAGAGAATGTAAATGAAAGAGATTATAATGCTCAGGAAGCCCACAAAAAAAACAGGATGAAGATAAATTTCCCTTGTCTCTTTCTTTGTTCATTTGTTTAAATTCTAAGAGTTATAAATGGGCGTCTGCAGGTTGGTGAGAGGGTAGGATACCGCCTCCCCTTTCCCCAGCACTTCAGCAGGGTAGAGGCTGACTTCCTGCAATGGAGTAAGGCGCCCAATGCCAGTCGGCTCCATAACTAGTGGCACTGTCTTGCTGCTTACACAGCTTTAGTAGTGGTAGCTATTAAGAGGGCAATTCGGCCTGCCAGTAACCGAGGTACATCCCCTTGTACAGGATCCCTGCACTCTTCCTCGTATATCTAAACTATAACGTGCCATGAGAAGAATGAAAAGGGAGCCCTGATACCATCAACTACCATGGAAATGCAGCCCCCTCATTAGATCATGTTAGAACCAGGACCAAGTCAGGAATGTGGCAATTTCTGCTTCTGCAGAGATGCGGCTGGGGCTCTGGGGAAAATGTGGCCATGGAGAGGCACAGGTGGGCTGCAGCCAGGAGCAGCAGCTGGGCCCATGAGAAGTCGCTGCAAACATTCTATTGTTTCTCCCAGGAGGGAAGTGACACCCTCCACACCCACCAGAGCCAGTGACAGCAGTCACCACCTCATTCCGTGCTAAGGCAAGAACTAAATGGAATCGTAACTATACCTCCCATTTCAACATTTGGGGAAGATATCTATGCATATATTCTATTCAGTTAAAACAACAGAATTGAGAAATGCCATATATCAAGTCACAGAAAATGTTCACGGGAATCCAGGATACCAGCTATACACTTTGGACTTAAAATGACATTGAAAAATGTGGGAATAGAAATCATGAATTTTAAAAATGTCTGTTGGACCAGATATGAGGACAAGGGAGCCACTGGTATGTTTGCCCTGTAGCTCCTGACTATTGATGCAACACAGTTTCTCTGGTTTTTAAAATCGTTTCTCGGTGTTTTAGGAGACTACCCATCGGCACCAGCCTTCTAAAAAGAGAATGCTGGTGTAACCCTGACTGGGCAGCAAACATTCCAGATAGAATATTTTGGTAAATTTTTAAAAAAGGACTGATGTTGACTCAAAACTATTTTGAAAAAATGTTGTTAAACCTCTTCAATATCAAAAGGCAGGAGATAATGATTTATATATTTTATTTTGACTTTACATGCGGTGTTAAAAACCCAAAGTACATATTATTTACACATCCACAATACAAGTTTACAAGATATCTATACATGTTAAAGTACTCTATAAAACAGTATAGAGCCACTTCACTTTAGGGTTACTTTTTATGCCGTAACATTAAAAAAGATACAATCTGTGTTTACCTTTGCACAAATGGATAAAGCATTTAAAAAAAATTAAATTAACAGGATAGAGACTAGATTTAATGTTAGAAATCTCAACATAAATACTGAAGGAACTCACATTACAAACGACAAGGCAGCACAATGTTATAACATGTTACCGGGAATCACACAGAGTTACTGCTCCGTTTTCCGCACACCAGGATTAATATGGGTAAGGTGAACTCAAACAAGTTTGTTGGCGGTGGACTGAGTAGTGTTTATCGTTGGTTGGTTTAATTTATTATTAATCTGTAATATTTTAGTTGCAAGGATGAAGTATTTCAACAACAGACGTTTTAGCTTTTGAGCTTCCAGAGACCTCGGGGAATTGGGTTCTTCATAAAACAATATTTTCAAAGGAAAAGCATAACTGTATCAGTATTCTACATCTTATATAAAAATGCTCTGGTCTTCTGACCCATCCTCCCCCAGGAAATGTGTATCACCAACATTATCACAAGGAATCAGCTGAACCTATTTGTCTGACTTGGTCAGGAGCACTCCTCTGCCTTGTTACTATCTAGGTTGGGAGGTCAATGAACCACCGTGTGACTTGCAGCATCGTAACTGAGACAGCCATTGGATTGCCCATCAACAACTGCATGTGGCTTCTGCCAAGCTAGGAATCAATGACTCTGAGGTCTCCGCGGGTGTCCCGTGACCCAGGAAACCTCATCTGACTTCACAGTATCACTGTTTCATCCTTAGGAAAGCAGGAGTGGAATGTTTATCACGGCAAAGGACATAATGCTGCGATTTGGGTGGGCTGCTTAATGGTTCTAGGCTGTTTATTTGATTTTTTAAAAAGTCTCTTCAGGTGCTGGTTGGAAAAAACATTTACAACTGGCACTCCGTAAATGATGTGCTATACTGAAAACACTTGACATATTTTAGTACTTCTATCATTCTCATGAATAAGGCACAAAATGCACAGATTCAGGTAAACCACATGTAATATTTACAGTATATTGTCATTACCTGCATGACTTAGGAGGAAATTCTCACACAACACAACATAGACGACATGATTGCACCACTGTTAGGTTTTCATAGACTGTCTGTTAAGCCAATTACAATTCTTTTCACTTTTCCCTCTACTTTTTTTTTTTTTTTTCAATTTTAAATCTTGGGGGTAGGAGGAGTTAAAGGAAGAGAAATTTTACTACATGGGAAAAACTAAACACAATCAAATAAAACCTTATTAGTGTGTCAAAGGTTAAATAGCGTGACTCAGGCTCGGATTCACAGTGGACAGGTAAGTTTTACTACTGAATACTGTTGGATAAATCAGAGATACCTCTTAACATCTCTATGTCCTTAAGCTGGCAAGACTGTAATAGAAGTTTCAATGAATAGCAGCACAAAATTACTTAGAACTCTTACATTCTGGCGTTGGGTACCATGTAAGTCAATCATAGTGATGGTTAAATCAGCCTTCCTTTTATTTATTTCTCAAAGCCGAACACAATGGACTGCTGTGGGAAGTAGTTATTGTCTCTTGTTCAGTCATGCTCAATGTAAACAACTCCATAGCACAAAAAGATGCAATGGGCCCCTAACCACATCCTCATGGATACAGGATGCACCCACACGCACACACACCCACACACACACCCACACACACACACACAGTTCATTGGTGGCATGAAAAAAATTGCCCCACATGAAAAAAAATGCTACAGTTTGGGTCAGAGACTGAATTTTTAGCAAATTGTTTGGTAATCTACAAGTTTGTTTCTTTGAGACATTACCATTGTTTTTGACATTTGTGCAAGAGGCAAGGTGAATGCATACATCTTAAAATGTTCACATTGAATGGGAAGACCACCCATAATCATGGCAGTCTAAGTTGAACCCATTTTCAAGTATTTGCTCACAGATTCTTCTGTGCACTGTATTAGCTCTTTGCCCCGGGAAGGCAGCCTCTCGGAGCCAGGGCTATACTCCTTTTCAGCTTCAAACAAAAGAAATGGAATGGCCAGCACCTTCCTTTGTTTCTGGGCAAGCACACAGAAGCCTCGCTGCAGTAGCTGCATGTGGCAAGTTCCGATGTTGCCAAAGTGAGAGAGTTTCTTTGGCCACTTGGTTCTCTTAAAAGATAAGCGAGTCTCTTATCTTAAAGGTACCCTTACAACATCATCCTCGCAACCATGTGGACAGCAAAAAGCCACACAGGGGAACAGCACACTGGAGGCCTAGTACGTGTATTTGTTCAGGGGTCTGACAGAGGTGGTTTGAGGGGCAAATGAAGGCTTTGGTGGCACGTCCGGTTTTAAGGACGGTGTCCTCTTTAGCCCCGTCCTCGGAAGGGTGCCGTTACTGGTGTAGCTGCTCTGTCTGGAGAGGGAAGGCTGCAGGTGAACACTCACTGGTGTGCCCTGAATGTAGTCCACCTTCGCCCCTGTGGGTGTGGGCATGTACCCGCCACGGTTCATGCTAGACTGTCTCGATAACAAAACACCATTGGGTGAGTTTAAGTTTTTAGGCATGGCAGATATCGAGTGCCTCTGGGAGGAGTTTTTGTGGTAACCTCTCTGTCTTTCCAGAGAAGTCATGGGGACCCCAGGAGTGGTGGGCACGTCCACTCGCTTGGTTGGGCTATTTCTAGGGAGAGTGGAAGGAGGAGAGTAGAGCGATGCCTCCCGGTTGGGGACCTTGGGCGGGACCTCCGACATAGGTCCCACGGGATCCAGCATTAGAGTCTGGTGGGCCATCTGGATGTCTCCCATGATGGCTTTGGGGTTACTATTTGGATCATTCAGATGCTTCAGGAGGTCATTGAGGGTATTCCTGGAATCCACGGAACGCCGGTGATCTCTCTTACTGGATGACTTCGTAAGAGGATGGTCGATGTGTTGAAGCTTCTTCTCAGCTTTGTGAGCATTGGAGTTTGAGAAGGACGTGTTGTAGTCGTGAGTAGCGTTAGGAAGAACAATGGCACTGGGGATATGCCCGTGACTTAGTGGGGAGTGGGGTGGAGGACTGGAAGGAAAAAACTGGGGGGTTTCTTTCCTTGAAGCTCCATGGCCATGGGCCTTGTCTGAGTGGCTTTTCATGGCCTGCAGGGTCTTCTGATGCAGCACAGGGGTAGACTCAGGCGTGGGGAGTGCAGCCAGCTCAGGGGGTTGGCCTCGATGGTCCATGACCATGGATTTGGTATCTCCGGTGGGCGGCAGCTCTTTCCGACTGGTCAGCAGGTTACTATACAATTTAGGAGAATCAATATTCTGCTGATATTCCTTGACCGGGCTGTCAAAGAGACCATTCAGTTTGGCAAAACTTCCACTGGAGTCTGTGCATGACTGGGCAGACTCTGCATCTTTGTGGATCTTCCGGTTCTTCCGAACGAACATATCGCGGTAGCAGTACACAGCCACCCCTGCAATGAATGCACCCAAAACAAAAGCGGCAAAGACACAGGTGATGAGGACATTCATGTGGACCATCTGGTTAGACTCTCCAGACTGAACTTCCCACCGTACACCTGCAACAGACACAGGGGAGGAGTCTGAGTGAGGCGCTCTTGAAACAATACCTGCCAGCAACAGCTTCCATTGAGCCAAAGCTGTCTGCACATGGTTCTTAGGCTTAGCTTGGAGGGTGAGGTAGACTCTACACTTCCATTTTTTTTTTCTTTAATTGCAATGGGATCCCTGGAGACATCTGATTGCTACAAATGCCAGGATAACTGTAATCTCCCATTGATCTGTATTCTCTGACTTCTTTCCCCCAACTCCTCTTTATTGTTCCATAACAGAAATTTTAAGCCTTCCTACCTAAACATTAGAATTATAAAGCGTACATTTTCTAAATGACCTGTTTTAAACTCACAAAATGTTTTATCTCATGGTTTTCTCCTAACCCATAAATCTGGATTAAAAAGCAACTGCTAGGATTAGAGGCATGTATGAATTGGCATCAATATATATTATGCTAACACAATTATACTACCTTAACTGGCATAAAAACCCGTAACTTGATCACAAACTAAAAGCATCTGCTTGGTCATTGGTAGCTACAAAGACAAACGTTCGTGTTTGCTTTGATTCCCCCCCCCCCCATTCCATTTTGGGGCAAAGCCCTCTTGGACTGCCTGCTATGAAAGAAATCTAAACAGTCTCAGGAAATACACTTTGCATTTGTTAAGTAATATGATTCCAATATCTTGAAATATTTAGAAATCTTTAAGTTAGACTAGAAGAAGAGTAAATTAGTTTTAATTATTTGGATTTTTAATGCAACCACAGACATCTAACAGTCAACCAAAGAGATGTTAGTTTAAGAGGTATCCAAGTCTGTTACATGCTATCAACACAGCTATCCCAGAATCAGGGAAGTCAGAAGGATTCTGAAGGCTCAGGGGCTTTAGGTTAGTACCAAGGCCTTGGAACGTTAGTCATTTTTAATCATGTCCAGGGTTATGAGATTGAGTGGCGTTTGGAGAGAGAAAGAATAAAGGTAGAAATGGCACTACAAAAGAAAACAAAGCAGAAAGAATGATGGTAAAATTGTGTACAGTGAAAATATATAAAACCAAAATAAACAGGTATAAATCATAAATGACAATGTACGGTCATAGAAACTGATTAGAAACCTGATTCCAAAGACGAGTAAGCGCCAAAGAATTGGTTTTTCTTTTCTTTCCAGAGTAAGATACCTCATTAGCCTGCTCCATAGGCAGCTATGTTATAACTGCTTCTATGATCGGCTGCTGTGTTTTATTGCTTGTAGCATTCAAGCAACTTAGCACCTCAAATGTCCTTTTCCTAATGCAGTTTGAATGGCAGCTGAACAAAAGGCTGGGACTGGTTCTTAGGCAAAAATAGAATACCTGGGTATTTGCAATTAACGAGTTTTGGTTTCTGATGTGGCTGAATGACCCTCGAAATTCTGATAGCTAGAAGTCTCCAGCATCTTCAGGCAGAAATCAACAGATTAGGTTGTCTGAGTGGCCGTTTCACCACCTTCTCTTTAACAGCTTTCCACCTCTTTCATCTTTTAAGGAATGCACTCCAACGTATCCACTGAAAGCCACGGGGACTGCAGCCAGCAGAGGCAGTGGTGACGCGGGCAGCAGCCCCTTTGGCTCCCCTCTGGAGAGCCCTCGGTCCTAGACTCTAGAGCTATTAGGAATCAGGTTTCCACTCAGTGAGGAATGAGTCTCCTGGTGAGGCCTTACCCTTTGGGATACCTGATAAAGGATCAGTAAAATCAGAAGTGTTTGGGTCATCTTGAACTACAAATTTCCGGGAGCTCGTCAGTTTAGGTCTCCAGGTATCAACCACTTTGCGTGTGATTTGTGGGGTACTCGCTACTGTGGTAACAGAAGATGAAGATACCTCCATGTCTGTGGTGGCAAACAGATTTTTTTTTTTATTAACATGGGAAGTGTCAGCAGATTTTTCTGACTGACCTGTGGCATTTTTAAGTACAGTTTGAGGTCAATTTTAGGAGAAACCAGCTCTAGGATTTTATCAAAACACATCCACCAAGACTACACCAAATCCTATTCTTGCAAGGGAAAATTAAAAACTAAAAGTGGACAATGAAGCTATAGTAAGCAGATTTCAAAATTAAACATCCTCAAACGCTCCTATGGAAGCCCCTGGGTGATGAATGACACTCAGGGAAAAGGTAGTACAAGTCACGAAGATTAATTGCTACTTTTCTCATCCTTTGGTGAGATAACATCATTCCATTTCTTTCTGTGTATATTTTCCAAGCACCTGCATAGATGGTTGGAGGCTGTCTGTCCTTCACTGGTGAGCCTAAGTGGAGCTTCATCAGAAAGCAGCTGGGCAGGTCCCTGCAAACACTGGGTTTGGGACCTGATACACCAGCTCTGCCTACGCTGTCTTGCTCTGCCAATGACCCCCATCCTCCTGCAGATTATTCACTGCGCTGAGGGGGCTCACTGCCCACTGGGAAGCACTGGAGCAGAGATGAACCTTGCCTGTGAATTCCAAAATGCCCAGGGAGTTTCTTCCAAAGAATTAGCAGCAACTCATGCATTTACAAGCTGAATTAGGATGTTCTGATGCATAAAAACTGCCATCCCTTCTCCTCCCCCCTTTCCCAAGGAATGAAACTGCTGGCGAGTTTTAGAAGCAGCACTAGGATTGGGAGTGACTTAATCTCAACCTGTCTATTACAGATTCCCACCAAATAGGTTTTCCCTCACAAATGTAAGCAAATGATTTTAGGTTCAAAGTCCAGAAATCCCAATTCAAGCTGGTGTGATGGTCGCAGATAAAGACTCCAAAAAATAGACACAGAGAGAAGAGCGTGGGAAGCATCTTAATCCATAGGAAACCAGCTTCATCCCACCAGGATCCCTTTTCATACCACTGAGACCCCCAACATTCAATGCTTCCCAGGATTACCACAAACCATTCCAAAGAGATCTCTAACATGTGTCAATACACATTTTGGGGAAATGTGTATTCGTTTACTAGGTCTGAGGGAAGGTGAGGAGAGAAGAGGGGAAAACAATGACATTCTGCCATCCATTCCATCTAGATGGCCAGAGGCAACATTCACGATGCACAGGTGAGAAGAAAGCTTGGTGGTCACGTGCAGCTGGAATGCAATGTACGTGAACTCATTTGATTTTTCATTAGGGGATGTGCCTCGGCCAATGAGGGACTGTTACATGCTCCACAGGGTGAAGTACTGAGTCAGAAAAAGTCTTTTGGCACCATCAGGGGGGTTATGAGTCAAAGCACAAAAATGAAGGGCTGCCAAACTGCGCAAAAGGAGGGGAGAAGGGGCTGAAAATGCTGAACTGAAGGAAAGAAAAGGCAGTTAATTCAAAAAAATTAAAAAAAACTAACCAGATGTTGGACCGCCAAATATTTTGTAATCTGGTGTAGTTGAAGTAGGCAAAATTTCTAAAAGAATTAAAGGAACAAGTAATCAGTAAAAAAGTAACCGAAAGAAAGCAAAAATGTATGAATTCCAATTAACTAAAAAAGTCCAAAGAAAAAGCTACAAATGAAAAGATTAACCTACTGGTTAGACTACCTTTCTCTAGATTTCCTACAAAATTGTAAATGGTAAAGAAAAAAAAAAAAGTAAGATTCTCTAAGGAAAAAAAAGAAAAGTAAGATTCTTCCCTAATGTATCCCCATGACCAAACAGCTCAGCTTTTGCGAAGTTTAAGTTAAATGCTAGGTGGTATGTGTCCTGAGTCATTAAAAGGCTGGTTGTAAAATAATGTTCACGTGCAAATGTAGTCAAAAAGAAGGGCCAGGAGGGCGAGGGCGAGCAGGCTTACCATCGCAGTCCCCGAGGTGGGCCGTGTGGCCATATTCCGTGTCCTGTTCGTATCCTCCAGCGCTGTGGTTATGGAAAACAAAGGAGTCTTTGGTTAACGGCCTTCACAGCAACACAAGTGACGATCAGAGCAGAACCAAGAACATATATCGATTAGTAGTAGGAATGGACCAAAAGGGAGGAAAATGGACATTTCGGCAGAGCTTGCTAACTGGAGTATTTCTGTTAAACATTTGGTGACTGGGTGATTAGGAGAGCAGAATGGAACTGCCCGTTTGACTCAGGTACTATGCTGTCTATAACTTTGCTTCCCTATTACAGTTCCAGATTTTCCTTTTGTAAAACAAACAAACAAACAAACAACTCTCCCCTAAAAATAGAAACAGGGTAAAGGGAGTACAGTGTTATTGGAAATTTTCTAACATTTCTAGCTGTGCAGAACCTGGGGAAGATCGGAGCAGGTGTGGAGCTCTTGGCGAAGGTGGCAAAGCATACTTACAGCGTCCCTGGGGTGACTCTCCCACAGGTCCCCTGGCTTAACCAGCCACAGTAGGGGTCTCGAGATGCAATACAAGACCTGCACAAAATCAAACAGAACGAAACTTGGATTTTCTTGTCATCAAAGGCCTTCATGCTGCACGACCCCAGGGTAAGAACAGAAACGTCAGCTTACTTTTTACACGACCCGTAGCGCTCGCAGCGGCTGAGGGGCATGCGGATTACGCAGCTCGAGAATGCCACATACAAAGTGTGGTGATCTTTATCCAGCTGTAATGAGATGACCTTCCTGTCCTCCTCGTTCTCAGGATTACACCTGTAAGTGTGGGATGCGTTTTGAAGCTATACGTTTAGTAAGTCAAAAGCTACATGACCTATACACAGCAAGGGAGGTTTGATTTTTGCAACTACTGAGAGCTGGGGAATATTCTAGGTAGCAAACCAAGCAAGTACATAGTTTGGGAAATATTAATCCTGTGATTCATCTTCTACTGCTATGCATGTTTGGTTCCATTTCAGGATTATAAAGTATTGTTTTAAGATTGCTCTCACGTTCTGATGATGGAAGGGAATTATATTTGTGAAGACCATGTTGGACTGTAGAGGAAAAAAAGATAATGTTTTAATGCCCTTAAATCTTCTTGTGCTAGATGTTTCTCCTTAGTCTCTTTTGCTCCATTTCTCTCATTTATTTCTTGACTGTTTTAATGGACTAAATAATCTTGTCTATCAGTGATTGGAAGAATTATATTGTTTGTGCCTGTGTATGTGTGTGTGCTTGCCTTTGTCTGCTGCATGTAGCATCCTAAAATTGATCTACAAGGTAGGAGGGATGGTGCTGAAATGCTCTCATTTTCCACAGGTGAAATATAGGGGCTGGGTTATTTTTAAACTCATCAACTGCCCACCTCCAAGCTCCAGCGGACTCAGGAAGAAAACAGAGCCAGGATTTATTTCCGTGAGAGAGAAAAAAAAAAAAAAAAAAAAAAAAACACAACAAAACCCAAAACACTAATATGCCAAACCACTGCTAATTTAGAGGGCTGAAAGGAAATGACTAGATGAAATAAAGTCCGGAAATTTTTTGAGCAGTGCTCAAGAGTGTTCTCGTAAAATATACCTACTTTGCATGGTTGTATGCTTCAATCTCTTCCAGTAATACGCTGTCATTCAGAGAGAAAGAACTGGTCTTTGCCAAAATTTTAAGTACCACGCCAGCTTCTGAGCCAACAAAGATGACGGTGTAGTTCTGGTGGGGTCCGGCGGAATGGTCCACGGCGATGGCTGTCAGCCTGTACCTGCGGGAGGAGGTTAGCTGGGTCAGAGGAGGCCAACAGGAAGATCAGGGGGAAGAGGGAGGGGCTGCTGTGCCTGCATAGCCTTACCTGATCCGAGTCTTTGTGAACCAGGGCTCCTCTGCAATGGGTGGAACGGCAGAGTCCATCAAGGGGTGCGATTTGATGAACAATAGGGTTTCATCCGGGAAACCAATAGAGGTTTCATAATCTTCAGCAAGGCCATGCTTTGCACAACAGCCAGGCCTGAAAGGAAAACAGTGTGTGTGTTCCCCCGCATCATCAATGGTATCTAAGGAGTAAGTGTCCGTTCTGCAAGAAGAGGTCAAGAGAGGAAGAAGAGAGAGGGCACCCAGAGAGCAATGCTATTTCCCAACTCTACCTGTAGGCCTGACTCCTGCACAGACCTGCACAGAGACCCCTCCCAGCGGGAAGCTGGCCCCGCTGCTCGCTGAGGACAGATGCTTCCAGTGGCCAGGTGGTTTTGTTAAAGACAAAAATCCCTCCCCATCCTTTTTCTTTACCTTGGTGTTGGTACTTTGTCTTCTGGGACTGCTGTCCAAACAGAATCTGGAGTTTTCTGTTCTTTAAATCGTCCTTTGAATACTTTTTCAATGTCATCCATGCTAAACGCACAGACCGCAGACCCAGGAATGCTGCAAAAGGGGAAAACCATCAGAAAACTGTCAGAAAACCACAGCAGGCCTGTTCCTGGGTCCCACCGGCAAGGACAGAAGGTCTTTTGAGTTGCCCGGGATCTGTCCTCACCTGTTGAGCTGTGTGGTGAACACCCCGACCACCGTGGGGATGCCATTGATTTGCATTATGTTTGTAATGGACTGCAGGACATCAAAGTAGAAAAAGGAATCCCCGGGGACAGAGCAGTTGAGCCGAGCCTTCAGAAACGAAGTCCAGTGTTTCTCCAGGACCCGCTGGGAGCCGCCCATGTCATTCTTACATATGCGGGCCACACGGGAATAGACAGCCTGCCCGAGGGACGAAGCAGAGGAAGGGGTTGTGAGCATGGAGGGGAATGAAAACCAAAGCTCCTATGCATGGGAGGAACAAGAAAGGCTAAAGATGTATCTGGTTTGAAGAATCTATCAGTCTGCTCTCTAGGGAGCCGTAGACTAAGGGTATAAACTAGATTCACCTGTGAGAAAAGGGGCCATTTATCTGTTCTGACAAAAAAGCTCCCTTAGATATGAGCTACTGAACTGGTGGAATGGAAACCATTCCCGCACTTTGTCTCCCACTTTGCTTCTCACACTGCTAATGAAGTGTGCCCTCCTTAAGCCTGATCCAGGAGGAGTGGCAAGAATTTACACTCATATGGGCTTTTACAGAAGCACCCAAAATTAAACAAGGGCGTCTATTTTCTTTCTTTCTTTCTTTCTTTCTTTCTTTCTTTCTTTCTTTCTTTCTTTCTTTCTTTCTTTCTTTCTTTCTTTCTTTCTTTCTTCTTAATATATTTTATTGATTTTTAACAGAGAGGAGGAGAGAGGGATAGAGAGCTAGAAACGTCAATGAGAGAGAAATATCGACCAGCTGCATCTTGCACACCCCCTACTGGGGATGTGCCCGCAACCAATGTACATGCCCCTGACCAGAATCGAACCTGGGACCTTTCAGTCCTCAGACCGACGCTCTACCACTGAGCCAAACTGGTTTAGGCAAGGGCCTTTATTTTCCATCCTGCCTCTGACACAGGGAAACACTACACTATCAATGGATTGCTAAGGAGTTAAAGAAGCAACCACAGCTCAAGGGTGCCTGCAACGCCAGAAAACTGCTGTTCCCATCCCAGCCATTGCTCAGGAGTTATTCTCATGATAAGCTGCCCATCTCTCTTCACTTGGCCCTAACCATAGTGAGAAGAACATGCAAAGGCCATATCTCTATCACCGTGGGCTCAATTCCATGCACAACAAGTCCACAATATAAGTCAAGCGCATATACTTGCCTTGCCTAAGTTATTATGCTCCACAGCAATCTCTCGAAAGAAGAAATAGACATAGTTTCCATATTCTATGGCATGAAGAAAGTGTGGTTCTGGAAGAAAATGAGAAACAAACTGGATCTTAAAAGGTAATTCAATTAGTGTCTGACCCTGGCGGCTAGACATGACTGACAGACGTCATGTAGCTACATCCAAGCCAATGGGAACTCGGACACGCCGATGAGTTTGAGGAGCCCGGACATGGGTGAGCTGAAGCTCCAAGGGACGCGGAGTCATAATGGCAGCTAATGGACTGTAAAAAGCCTACCGGGAACTGAACCATAGCACAGGTCTTTGTTTCAACAGATTTATTCATTAACCTATTTCAATAGGGAAGAAAACCTCTCATGTTAAGAATTTAAAAATCTTGATTTCTAGACTCCAAAGAACAAAATGACTCTGCAGATGTGACCTAATTGACTCTCACTGTTGTTACCTTTCCAGGATAAGTAGATGAGAGTGGGCAAGGAGTATCATGCACATTGAGAGATCGGCGAATTGGAACACTGAAATGGGATTTTTTTTTAAGTCACTTAAGATAAAATCCTGGATGAGTCTACTTTCTTGGCCTTGGCTATGGATCTTTTCATTCCTTGTCAATGCCCCAATTCACAATGAAAGGAGCTCACCCTCGCTCTAAATAAACAATATAAACCCATGCTAGAACCTCCTGATGACCAGAGCTCCTGTTCCCACTCAGCCATCCCATTACCCTTGGTGATCCCACAACACTGCTCTTCAAAGTTACCTTTTATCCATTTGGAATCGTATTTGATTGTGCGAAGGGCAGATCCATCGCCCATGCTTCGGTAAATAACAGCATCACTGGCCAAGAAGTCAGCCACTGTGGCAGAATATAGCTTCCCATCTGAAACCAAGATTATAATTTGAGTAAAATAACCACAATTACTCTGTAGTGTGTTGCTCTGAGTAGTGTGGTATACTCTTTGCAGCTCTTTCATCTGTTATCCCCATATTCAGAAATAGAGCTAAATGTGATGATCATATGCAACCTGTGACAGGTTGGCCCATAGTGTTACCTAATATTACAGAGGAGGAATCTAAGCATCAAAAAGTCTAGCAACTTATTCAGGGTCACTAGCCTTGTTAGCAACAGAACCAAGAGTCAGAATGCTATATTATAATATGCCTACTTTTAATTATTTTTTGGAAAAAAATTACATAGCCTTTAGACTTTGAAACACCTATACCAAGATAGCTAGCCTAGTTATGAGTTCTTTTTCTTCAGTTAAATTCCTTCTGCACCTTCAATGTCATTAATCATTTATATTCATTATGCTAAAGAACCTTACCAGCAAAAAGGGCAACATTGGTTTGTTTGGCATCAAATGGGCATCTTGCCAGGCCACTAATGTCTTCCCCATCATACTCTAAGGTATTCAACTACAAAAGAAAAATAAATAGTTGGTGTCAAATCTGTTCAATGTACCTGTTGGAAGGCAATACTGCTTTATTTGTGCTGAAATTCTATTTGAAGAATTCTGTCTTTATTCTTCCATAGCATTAGCGATAAAACAAATTACTAGGTTATAGCAGAAAGGATTCAACTTTGACAGCAAACTAGTGAAGAAAGGAAAATTGATGGGAAAAAAGCACAACATATAAAATATACTTACCCTATAAAATCTACAAATGGGATTAAATGCGTTGGTGCCACATACAAAAACCATCTCATCGTTTCTTGGAACAAATACTTTGATAAAGTTGTGGCATTCATCCTAAAGAAAGCAGCAATTACAGTAATATTAGACATTCTGTACTCTGACATTATGGGGTCAAGACCACAGAAAGACACAACAGAGCAGGCACTTGTCTGCTTTACTTACCTTATGTTTGCCTTTCATAGCACAGTTTTCTCGATCCTGTTGCTTTGACCGCCATGTCAGTTTCTGCATTAACCAAGCAAAACCAAAGCTCAGTTTTGAAGTGTGAACATTCTGGGAGGGGAAGGGAGGGGAGGGGGGCATTAGCCAAGTTCGGCGGGAATGCAAGTAAATTTGCAACTGCGCTATCTTACCTTGCTCGGTATTACTTCTGTTTTGGGGATTTCATTTAAGTTTACTGTATAAACTTGATCCCTGTTGGAAACAAGGTAGTAAGTCATAGCATGTGAATGCATAAAAATGTTAAGCCGCTTCTTATTTTATTTTTACAGATCTGCCTTTATTGTGTTTTGGAGATCATTTGGATTTTCTCTGTCTCCAGCAAAGTCAACCAAGGGTACTTTTTCATTAGTGGGAAGCTTTTATATATCACTGTGGTTAGGGAGCAAAGAAAGCTCTTCTCCTCAGGCGTGGGTCAGACTGCGACTAGCATTAGCATAGACATACTTCTAATATTTGCTCGAATAATTCCAAGTTAAAAAAGAATAAAGAAAGATTTTTCCCCCCTGCTGCTTTAGGAATAAAGAATAATGTATGATTTCTTGATGGCAGTAATAAAACAGCACCGCTGAAGGTTGCTGCTCTGTATTTTGTTCCTGGCACACAGTACTGGCTCTTCTCAGTGAATATTTTTGGCTACTTGCAATTTTTGATCACAATCACATATTAGTTTTTCATGAACTAGACACATTAATGCAAGCACCACGAGAGAAAAGAATTTTAATCTAATAAACCAACGAGAGGAAAATTACCTGCCAGCAATATAAAGTGTGTCTCGAATTTTCAACATCAGCTGAAAGTCCAGCCGGTGCTGCGATTCATTGCCTGAAGGGCGTCCTCTAAAAACCGGATATTGCCTTGAATCTGCAAGTAAAAATGGGCTAAACCATCAGTCAGGATTACGGAGCTGAAGAATCAATAGACAGCATTGATTAGCTGTATATACTAGTTGTAGAAGGGTTTTAACTAAATTCCTCTCTTCGGGTCTTGAATATAAATGAATCAAAGACGATGGTAAATGTCAGCAAATGGTCTTTTTCTTTTAACAGAAAATATATAACCTGTATATGGGCTGTTTTAGAAAAGCACCCAACAACACTGTCCCATTTTTCCGAACACAACTGAGGATAAATGAATAGACAAAACATGCTTAAGTCATATAAAACTCTCTTTCTAAAAGCGAATAAAACACTTAGAAAAATCAAAACCAAGAAAGCTTCCTTCTTAGAAAAGGAGAATGTTCTGTAGATTACTTACAGTGATAGTCAACAGTATTAAGGGGCTCATCATCCTCAGGAAAGCTGACTGCCCTCAGCTGGGAAATCATCAGGAGCAGCATGTAGGCACAAAGCAGGAAGAACCTCATGGTGGGCCAAGGTCAAGTCAGAGCAGCCCCTCCTCAGAAATCCCACTTAGCTACCTAGAAAACAGGAAGAGTTTGGGAAGACCTGGATGCTGTGATGAACCTGTTTTCTTATTTGTAATCAGCTCAGTTTTCACCACCAGCTCCCTGGATGCCCTCCTCCCTCTAGGAGGTCTGGTGAAGGAGATATCTCTGAAAACACAGGCAAAAGATGGCAGCACGCCAGGCCTGATGAAAGCATCTGGTGAGCATATGGAAGTTTTAGGTACATTTGCAAGAGTTTTTGAGGTAACTATGTATGGCATCACAGCAAAATCCCCGGAACCACCAACCGAAATGCTGGCTGCTGACTTGGCAAGAGGATGGGCGATGTTGGGATTAGAATTTTAATTAAACTCCAATCTGCTTCCCTGCCCCCAGCCCTGAAATGCATCCAGTACAGCTTCCCTCTGCCCCTCGTAAGAGACACAGGCTGTTCTACAAAGATCTGGAGAGCTGCTGGTCCCGTCCCCTCATCTGATCACTGCTGAAGGCATTGCCAAATTCCCAGCGTTGTTCAAGCTTTAGCCCAAAATTCTCAAGTAGAACAGTTCCTCAAGCTTAGTAACACCAACAAGAAGCAATGGCAAGAATGACCTTGAATCAGGGTGAAAGAGAATGAAAAGAAATTAAATGATTTCGCGATCAATCAATCAAGCAAAGCAGGGCAGGGATGAAACAGCACAGCTGCCGCCAGACCACTGGGGATGTCTACATATTTACATAAAACCATTTGGACACAAACCAATACCCTAAGTACATCTGTCCTCTTAGCTTTATTGAACTTGAGAACCATAGGGGGCCTTAGGGACCATCTAGTCCAACCTCCTCATTTTTCAGATGAGAAAACTAAGAGCTGGAAAAATTAAGGGACCCACGGAATTTCATGGAGCTATTTAGGAAATGAGTAGAGTCCAGTTCAGACTCACATCACCTGAGTCCCCTCTAGGGTCTTTTCATCAAATTCGATGATTTTTTTTTCATTATAGCATTACAAAACATCTTTTGGGGATAATAAATACATTCATTATTTTTATTGGAGTGGTGTTCACAGGTGTATGCATATGTTAAGTGTTATCAAAATGTTTATTTACATATGTGTACTATCTTGTATGTCAATATCTCAACTAAAATTACAGCATAGTATAATATTAGTAGTCAATTTTTAAAAAAATCTTTAAATGGTATCCATTTATTAAAAATATAAATTAAGACCCTGGTGGGCTCACAGGATGGGTATTTTTGTGAAACTGTCAATGCTCCACTTTGCAATAATAATACTCCTTCCTTGACCAAAACTGGCACAACTCTTATACCAAACAGTAAGACATTAAGACTTATCTTCAGTTTCATATATCCAAGAACTTTAGGGGAGAGGATGCGAATCACTTCAAATTCTTGGGGAGTCCAAACACTCAACCAGGTGCTCACTATGCCTCTTTTATCCTCTTAATGTCTAACACACTGATGCACACATATGTTATGCAATGCTTTCAATATTTCTCTTTCCCTAAAGTCAAAAGCCAAGTCTATGTGAATTTTAGAATCCTACATTTACACAAAAAGAGAAAAAATATTGCAATACAATTTTTCTTAATGAATAATTAATCCAGCAGTAAGTCAGCAGGATCTGGGCAGCATCATTTTGTACTCAGTTAAAAGAGTGTGCACTTTGCTGGCATTCTGACTTGTTGGAACTCCATCACTTACTAGCTGATTGACACAGGAAAGGTTCTTTGATCTCTTTGAACATTAGTTTCCTGATCTCTAATGTGTGGATAATACCACCTTCTCCACAGAATAAAAAAGAACTAAATGCCAGGTATAAACAGATTCTGAGCAGTTAGTCCTTCTTAACCATTTAAAATATATATATTCTTATTGATTTCAGAGAGGAAGGGAGAGGGAGAGAGATAGAAACATCAATAGTGAGAAAGAATCATTGATCGGCAGCCTCCTGCATGACCCACACTGGGGATTGAGTCCACAACCTGGGCATGTTCCCTGATCTGGATGGAACCATGATCTCCTAGTTCATAGGTCAACGCTCGACCACTGAGCCATGCCAGCTGAGTGTTCTTACCCATATTTTACTGGACACCATGCATATGACCAAGATGACCCTAAAAGTCCGAGAAGGGTCTGGGAAAAAGATATTAAAGCTGTTTGGCCATTTCTGCCGGTGCCCTCCCCCCCCCCCCCAACACACACACAATGAATAGTTATTTTAAAAATACTAAAGGGTTATTTTTAGAATAAATTTTACAATTTGAGCCCTTATCAAACTTGGAAAGGCAATTAAAAAATAAGACCAATAATCCTGTCATCATAACCCAACAACTATGATGACTTGGTTCTAGTCTTCTTGCCACATGCACCTATTTTTAAGATCTCTTTCAACCTACCTCTTCTCCTGAAGCAGCGACTTCCCACCTGGCTTTTCCACGGTGTCTTGCCATTTATAAAGACCCCAGAGAGTGGAAGCAGTGTAAAACTACAAAAGAGTCGCCCTAAGAACCAAATTCGGTTATGGCATTAATCCCAAGCGTCATTCTCTGAAGTCAAGTCACTGGATTTTTTTTGCAGGGTATTGGGGAAAATTAAGAAACAGCAATCACTCCTGAAGTAACTGAGAAATAACTGCTTGAAGACAAGACAGTTCTGTGAATCTTTCTTCACCAGGACGGCTAACTTCAAGTGGGCAGAGCCTGGAGGGCCCAGGCAGCCCGGCAGAGGAGCCTCACCTGGAGCAGAGTGGGTCACAGCTTGATCCCAGCATTGAGATTGAGAGTGAACTCACTGCTGACTCATTGGCAAGTGCCAACTGCAGGCTGAGTCCCATTTCCTATAACTCATTCATGTGACACACAGAAAACAATTTCTCCTCAGGCCCCGCCCCTCACCAATCGCATCCTCCAAAAATAAAGCCCCATCCCTAATTGCTTCCTTTATCAAAAAAAAAAAAAAAAAGCCTTACTTTTAAGAAAGAATTACATTTAGACTTGCCATAGAAATTATAAGTGGAAGTATTTAGTGTAAAATGCGTATCAAAGTAAGGTTGATTTGGGGAGGAAAGGACCTGGAAATACCTGAAAAAAGGGTACCAGGAAGGAGATTTATTGCAAGCAAACCACCTCAGAAGACAGAGTTCTTACTTTATTTAAGGAAGTATCTCAAAATTCCAGGACTCAGTAAAATCATGAAACTATGCTATGTTGAAAGAGGGCCAGCTGAGGCAGGACAAAATGTTGGAAAAGATCATAGACTTTGAGATTAGAATAATCCGTGTTTAAACTTCCTTGTGCCATTTACTTCCCAGCTCTGGGACTTGGTTTAATACACTTAACCTCTTTAAGCTTTAGTTTCCTCAAGTGTGAAATAGAAATAATTATGTTTTTCTACCTCATAGGCTCTTCCAAGGATTAAATGATATACTATATATATATATATATATATATATATATATATATATATATATAATACCTAACATAGAACCTGGTCCACAGTAAACCTCTAGTAAAGTTTTGTGAATATTATCATAACTATTATTGTTATATTTTACAGGGAAAAAATGCAAAGAAAGGGGGGGAGAAATGTTTACTCTATCATCTTGTACAACCATTTGCAAAACTGTTTACATACACCATCATAACAATGCTAGGGGTGTTCCAGGAGGATAAGGTATAGCTTCATAGATGTAAATGCCTCCAATGAGGAGGAGGGAACAGCATAACAACACCATCTATGTTATTCCTTTCAGTCAGAGAACAGCGAAACCTCAGTACATTTTGTAACATGGAGTATTCTATGAGCTCCTCCTATACATCCCGACTGTTAAAGCCACATTATAATGTGAAAAGTTCTTAAAAGGAGTTCAGAGCTACCAAGACAGCCAGGGTTTGAGGGGCAGGATCCTTGTGGTGGAAGAAAATGAGCCCCACACCTAGTACTTGACTTCACATTAAGGAAATTGCTAATTCTGAAACTGCATAAAGATGAAAGGATAGCTATAAAGAAAAGCCCAAATCTTTGCAGTCTCAAGTTCAGGACCCCCCAAGAAGGAGGGGGTCTAGCAAATGTCTAAAGCTCCCATTTTGGCCTCTGAAGATCTATACCTCCAGGAGAGGAGGCAAACACGTGCAAGACCAAACCTTACAAAAACTCCAACTTGATCTCCGATAAGCTCTGTGCTGGAATGGATAGATGTTATCTCCTCGTACTCTAGCTACTTGCAGAAAAGATAACGTGAATCTTATGTAGAGAAAAATAACATCCAGAGACTATAATTTTTTATAAGTTGCTCAACATTCAAGCAGCAATTACTAGACAGTTCAAGAACCAAGACTAAGAAAGAAAGAAAAAAGATAATAGAAATAGGCCCATAGGTAACTCAGCTTTTAGAATTATTTGACATAGATTTAAAAAATAATTATTTTGTCTAAGAAAAAAAGATGATAAGACAAGGAATTTACCAGAGAAATGGAACCAATTTTAAAATAATTAAGTAAAAATCATACAACTAAAAAACTCAATAATTAAAGCTTCTTAATATTTTTTTTAAGCAACATATTTCTTGTAGCTAAAGAGAGGAACTGTCAACTGGAAGCTGGGTTAGTAGAAAATATCAGACAGAAACATGGAAAACAAAGAAAAAACAAAACAAAACCCAAAACAGATAAGAAAGTAAGAGACACACAAGATCATGTGAAAAGACACAACATACTGGAATCCCTGAGATCAGAGAAAGAAAGAGAAAGAGAAAGAGAAAGAGAAGAGAGAGAGAGAGAGAGAGAGAGAGAGAGAGAGAGAGAGAGAGAGAGAGAGAGAGAGAATTTGACAAGATAATAGCTGCATTCTTTTTCAAAACTGACAAAACACCACAAGTCAAATATTCAAGAAATGCTAAGAACTTCTAAAGACAAAGAAAAATACATTTAAACACATCATAGTCAAGATGCTAAACA